AGTTCATATATATTTTATATAAAATAAAATTTAAATAATTAGTTATTTGAAAAGTATTATATAAAAACTATTTTTAGTAATAATAGTCTTTCGTCCAATTCAAACTGCTATTTTCAGAATTATAAATTTAGATATACTAACTTTAAAATATTAATATTTAAATATAAATATAAATATAAAAGACTAATATTAATTTTTTAAAATATAAATAAACTTAATAATAAATATTATCATGATTTACATGCATGTCACATCTTTTTAAATTTTAATTTAATAATTATAATATATATATGTGTATATATATATCTTAGAAATTGTTAGAAATGAAAATTAAAATATTAGTTATTAATTGTGTAATTCAAATAAATTTAATAAATTGAAAAAAGTACAAAGGGTTAGATTTAGTTTTTTTTTATCATAAACCAAAAAATCAACATATACAAAAATTAATGCATTTAGGTATATTGAAATGAAGCTTAAAATTTCATTTTGTAAGTTTAAAATATAAATTCAAAAGATATAATCCGCGCGTAGCGCGGATAAAATATCTAGTATTCCTAATGACGGATAAGCTTCCAGATACTACTTACCAAAAAAATGTCTCAGTTTTGGAAAGCGATGTGTTTAGCTTCCAAGTGTGGGCCATATGTTGTTTACTATATGGTCCATAAAACCCATAATTTTTTGGGAAATTTGCCAAAAGAGGACTAAAAAACACAACTATTGTCCCCTTAGAATAAATTTCATGATTCATGTCCCCTTAGAATGAACTATAATGAAAATCCAATTTAGTCCTTAGTATTTAATGCAACTTTTGTATTTTCTTATTAATCACAAAGCCGATATATATTTATAGTATGAGAGAATTAACAATGAATGACAATGATTCTGTTGTAAACTACCTCTACTTTCTCCCTATAAACATGGGTTCGAGCCTCCTGGTATGCAAGTATATTTTTTTTTAATTCGAAGCTTTGGATATTGATTATTTGAATCTTTGTACTTTGTTAGAAAGAAATACTATTTTATAATTTTGCAGATTTTAAAGTTAATAAAATAATAAAATGTAAATGTTATATAGTAATCATCTTTTAAAATAACAAAAATCATGTTACAAAAATCTTGGTAAATCCATACCCTAAACAATAATGAAACCCTAAACCCTGCCTGAATAAAGAAATAAGATAAACCATACCCTAAACTCCTATCTCTTATTTGAATCTTTGTACTTTGTTAGAAGGAAATACTATTTTATAATTTTGCAGATTTTAAAGTTAATAAAATAATAAAATGTAAATGTTATATAGTAATCATCTTTTAAAAGAAGAAAAATCATGTTACAAAAATCTTGGTAAATCCATACCCTAAACAATAATGAAACCCTAAACCAATAATGAAACCCTAAACAATAAGAACAAAAATCATGTTACGTATATCATCTACCCTAATTTGGCCACTTTTCCTCATCGTCTTTCTTTCTTCTTTTCGAAAAATATGGCGAACATGAACAACATTGAAGGAATCCCTCGCACATACTGGTGTGGGAGGGGGATTGTCACTTACGTTTCAAAAACAGATGAGAATCCATACCGACGGTTCTTCAGATGTGAGATTGCTTTACAGGTAAATGTCATATATAAATACTTATCAATTCTTCTGTGTTGAGACTTAATTTGTTTTCTGTTCCAAATCAGAGAAAAAAAGAGCAACATCTTTTTAAGTGGGTGGATGAGGCTCTGTATGAAGAGATTCAAAAGATGGATGACCATCAAGCGTTCATGGCANAAGATCTGCGTGTTTCGTTGAAGATGGTGGAAGAAGAAGTTATGAAGCATAAAGCCTCTCGAGATGTTAGTTGTGTAGGATCCATTCTCAGTATTTTATGTCTCTGTTCCAAATTTGATTGATATTTTGTAATGTTTTTCTATTTCTATCTACATTGAATAAGAACAAGTAATGGATTTCTAGTGTTATTGACATGTTTCAAAGACATCTAAATTCAATATAAATCAAAAACACTGCTAAAATCAACATGAAACGAATCATGAATATGAAAGATAACTTGCAGAAAAACAAAAAACAGAGGTTTATGCATAAAAAGATGTTAGAAAGTTTTTGAGTTAGGTGACTCAGTAGGCGACTCAGTAGTCCCTTCTTCATTCAAGTCAAATTCGACATTGATATTCCTTGTATCCACCTTAGATCGAACACACACACATAACCGCGTAGAAGCTCTGATCTTCAGATATGTTAGAAAGTTTTTTGAGTTGCCTATCATTGGTGATGAAAACAGGTGGCGAGTTGATGCTATTCATCAAATCTGAAGGTAAGTAACTCAACTCGATATTGACCATATCTAGATCAATTCCAAAGTCTTCACACACGATCAACTTCAGGTGTTCAAAAGATGAACTTGTGTCCACAGTTTGTAACCTACCTCCTTTTCCTTCATCAACAACAAATCGCCATCCATTGCTTACAAACGATTTCCACGAACCACATGAAGTATACATGTGCATCTTCATTGTTAGATAGCTTGGAAGTGGAAGAACTAAAAGAATAGAAGAGGTTTTTCACGGTGAGAAGAAGAAGAAGACCCACGTTCAAGACAAAATATATTAAAAAAGGAAATAAAAATATTTAGAGAATATTTACTTTAAGATTTTGCTAGATTTTCGGATGGTGGCTCACAAACCGTTGGTAGAAGATACATTCTACCAAATTTTCCATTAGTTTAACCAGTGGAAACGTAATCCCACGAGCGTAGACAAAACATTAAAATTAAGAAGATATGTTCTGCCAAGGTAGACGCATGGGTCTTTATTATATGATATGTTCTACTGAAACTGCATAACAAAGAAGGAATGTCAGTTATCATATTCTTCAATCGTAGATGTATATGTTTTTGGTGTATTACGCATTCTAAGCCCTTTAGATGGATTAATGGTTAGTAGATTGTACACTCTGAACCGCCGTAGATGGTAGATCTGATTTACTACCCTTTTATCCAATTTTTGAAATTACTATTCCAAACATTTTTTGAATGTAAAAATATTTTTCATATATTCACATGCTACTCTATTTCATATTGTATATTTTTCCTCAATTTTTTACCTTGTAAATTTTTTACTTTGAATTTTTATATACAAAAAGGGTAGTGAAAGTCTAAAAGTGCCAAAATTTGATTTTATTCTAAGGGGACAATAGTTGTGTTTTTCGGTCCCCTTTTGGCAAATTTCCCTAATTTTTTTATGTTCGTTTTATAACCTGATTTCACCATGTATATTTCCTGATAAT